ATCAATCCAGGCATCAGCATATCCGGCATCAGCTCAGCATCAGCATCGCATCAGCATCAGCATCGCATCCGCATCAATCATCAACATCGTCATCGTCAATCGTCATCGTCATCGTCCATCATCGTCATCGCTCGTCATCGTCATCCGTCATCATCATCATCATCCGTAGCCATTTGGCTCAAGCTTTTTCGCCTCAACCACTCTGTGGCGCTCCAGTGATCGCGTCTCCCCGGCGCACGCCTGCTTGCTTCCGCTGCAGACCAGAGCTCACACCTCATCACCGTCTCGCCGGGATGGCGCCGCACCGCCGCAGCGAAGACATGGAGCTCAGCAGTGACAGCGACGCGGCCGCTCCGGCCGCTGGCTGGAGCACCGGCAGGGTCCTCGGCTGCGCGGCGCTGGCCTGTGCCGCCTGCGCCGCGGGCGGCTTCGCGGCAGGTGGCGGCGCCAGCTCGCCAGGGGGCGGCCTCGCGGCCAGGCGCGAGTTGCTGCAGGTGCTGGCAAAGCCGTGCGCGGGAGAAGTGCACCGACGTGGTCCTCGGACTGCTTCGATACAGCGTGCTGCGACGTGGCTGGCTTCACCTGCTTCGTGACGACCACGCCTGGCTCGGCCCAGTGCATGAAGAACTGCACGCCCAGCGAGACGACGGCCTGCGCGGTGCCTGTGCCCAAGGTCGGCGAGCCGATGTACCTGGACAACGCCGTAGCACCTGGAACATCGATGTATTGCTTCTCCGTTTACATGGCAGACACTGGTAGCGACGGCAAAACCGAGCGCCCGGACGAGCTGAACTTGCTGAAAGCGGCGTACGACAGGAAGATAGGCATCTTCGCGTGCGAGCAGTGGGGCATTTTCAGCGACAAGCCAGGCGACCTGGCCCCTGGCGTGCCCTTCGTGGCGGTGGACGACGCCGATGGGGACTTCCACATTCTCAAGCGCAAGGAGACCGGCACCTGGATTAACACAGGCTTGCACACACAGGTCTGGAAGGCGATCAGGGCGGCGGGAGACTACCACGCGCCAGCTGGTGGTCAAGGTAGATTGCATGCGGTGTTTCTTGGCCAGCCGCTGGAGGCCCTTCCTTGCCTCCCATGTTCGAGCCTGGGGCGGTGTGCCTGGCATCAACCTCGAGGAACTGCAAATACTGTAAGTGGGGTATGGTTCGGGAACTCCGATCATCGCTGACTGGCACGCCTGGACGCTGTCCCGACATAGAACTGGTGCAAGTCAGTCCGGATTGGAAAGACGGAAGTGGAGGGCGGCAAGTACGGGCCGATGTGGGAGGACCTTTTCGCTCAGACTGCTTGACGCCATGGGTGGTGCGCCGCGGCGTGGCGTTCGACACTACTCTGGATGCGGGACTGCGAGGCGGATCGCCCAGAGGACCAGAAAAAGAACAAGAAGTGGAGGCCCGACTGCACGGAGAGGAAGACCGCAGCATATCACCCCATGATGAAGGTGGGTGATTACGTGAAGTGCTTCGAGAAGACGGTAGAGGCATTCGGGTACTGAATTCTTGGAAGACGCGCTCTGCAAATTACTTCGAAGAAGTGGTAGTGCAAGAGCTGATGCCCGATATTCGTGCACAGTTTTGCCATCAGCACTTTTTGTAGCTGTCACGAGTCAACGTCCTCGTGGCACAGTGCTCGGTCGATGCGAGGCCCGTATCCTCCGAGGTGCGCTTGTGGTGGACCAGCGGCGCGCAATAAAGACGCGAATGATGATCTCTGCGATGCCGCCAGGGAGAAAAGACTTCTCCGGCGGCGACCTATCGATGCCGACTGAACAGCTGAGCTCTGAAGAACCAGGAGTTGTCATGGCCCTCTCATCTCAACATCATCATCAAGCAGCATCACATCATCATTCATATGATCATCATCAATCATCTCATCATCATCATCATAATCATCATCATCATCCTCATCCCATCCATCAGTATCGTTTCATAATCATCACCATCACCGTCATCATCATCAGCATCATCAGCATCGTCATCATCAGCATCATCATCACCATCATCACCATCACCGTCATCATTGTCGTCATCATCCCAGCACCATAAGCATCGTAGCATCAGCATCATCATCACATCAGCATCGCATCATGCATCAGCATCAGCATCAACATCCACATCAACATCATCATCATCATACATCATCATCATCATCATCATCATCATCATATCATTATCATTATCATCAATCGTTCTCTTATCATCATCCGTAGCCATTTGGCTCAAGCTTTTTCGCCTCAACCACTCTGTGGCGCTCCAGTGATCGCGTCTCCCCGGCGCACGCCTGCTTGCTTCCGCTGCAGACCAGAGCTCACACCTCATCACCGTCTCGCCGGGATGGCGCCGCACCGCCGCAGCGAAGACATGGAGCTCAGCAGTGACAGCGACGCGGCCGCTCCGGCCGCTGGCTGGAGCACCGGCAGGGTCCTCGGCTGCGCGGCGCTGGCCTGTGCCGCCTGCGCCGCGGGCGGCTTCGCGGCAGGTGGCGGCGCCAGCTCGCCAGGGGGCGGCCTCGCGGCCAGGCGCGAGTTGCTGCAGGTGCTGGCAAAGCCGGCGCGGGAGAAGTGCAGCGACGTGTCCGGGGACTGCTTCGATACGGCGTGCTGCGACGTGGCTGGCTTCACCTGCTTCGTGACGACCACGCCTGGCTCGGCCCAGTGCATGAAGAACTGCACGCCCAGCGAGACGACGGCCTGCGCGGTGCCTGTGCCCAAGGCTGGCGAGCCGATGTACTTGGACAACGCCGTAGCACCCGGAACATCGATGTACTGCTTCTCCGTTTACATGGCAGACACCGGCAGCGACGGTAAAACTGAGCGCCCAGACGAGCTGAATTTGCTGAAGGCGGCGTACGACAGGAAGATAAGCATCTTCGCGTGCGAGCAGTGGGGCATCTTCAGCGACAAGCCAGGCGACCTGAAGCCCGGCGTGCCCTTCGTGGCGGTGGACGACGCCGATGGGGACTTCCACATTCTCAAGCGCAAGGAGACTGGCACTTGGATCAACACAGGATTGCACACACAGGTCTGGAAGGCGATCAGGGCTGCGGGAGACTACCAGCACGCCAGCTGGGTGGTCAAGGTAGATTGCGATGCCATGTTTTTGCCGAGCCGCTTGAGGCCCTTCCTTGCCTCCCAGGGCGAGCCTGGGAGCGGTGTGCCTGGCATCTACCTCGAGAACTGCAAATACTGTAAGTGGGGTTGGTTCGGGAACTTGGAGATCATGTCAGTGACTGCCGCCCAGACGCTGTTCCCGAACATCGAATGGTGCAAGCAGGTCCTGGATTGGAAGACGGGAGTGGAGGGCGGCAAGTACGGGCCGATGGGGGAGGACCTTTTCGCTCAGAGCTGCTTGGACGCCATGGGTGTGCGCCGCGGCGGGGCGTTCGACACTGTTCTGGACGCGGCCTGCGAGGCGGATCGCCCAGAGGACCAGAAAAAAAACAAGAAATGGAGGCCCGACTGCACGGAGAGGAAGACTGCAGCATATCACCCCATGATGAAGGTGGGTGATTACGTGAAGTGCTTCGAGAAGACGGTAGAGACATTCGGGTATTGAGTTCTCAGGAGACGCGCTCTGTGAAATACTTCGAAGAAGTGGTAGTGCAAGAGCTGTTGCCCGAGATTCGTGCACAGTTTTGCCATCGGCATGTTTTTTAGGCTGCCACGAGTCAATGTCCTCGTGGCGCAGTGCTCGGTCGATGCGAGGCCCGTATCCTCCGAGGTGCGCTTGTGGTGGACCAGCGGCGCGCAATTAACATACACATGATGACCTCTGGGACTGTCGCCAGTGGGGAAATGACTTCTCCTGCGGTGACCTATCGTATGCCGACTTGCCGAGCTGCCGGGAGACCCGAGCGGATTGTCATACCGAGTGATCATCATCAGCATCATCATCATCCATCATCATCATCATCATCATCAGCATCATCATCATCATCATCATCGTCAATCTTTTCTCGTCCGTAGCGCATTTGGGCTCAAGCTTTTCCGCCTCTACCACTCTGTGGGCGCTCCATTGATCGCGTCTCCTCGGCGCACGCCTGCTTTGCTTTCCGTCCGCTGCAGACCAGAGCTCCACCCTCCATCTCGCCCGCAGGCGCCGTCACCGCCGCACGATACTGGAGCTCAGCAGCGACAGTTGACGCGGCCGCGCCAGCCGCTGATGGAGCACCAGCAGGGTCCCTCGGCTGCGCCGTGCGCGGCGCTGGCCTGTGCCGCCTGCGCCGCGGGCGGCTTCGCGGCAGGCGGCGGCGCTGGCTCGCCAGGGGGCGGCCTCGCGGACAGGCGCGATTTGCTGCAGGTGCTGGCAAAGCCGGCGCGGGAGAAGTGCAGCGACGTGTCCGGGGACTGCTTCGATACGGCGTGTTGCGACGTGGCTGGCTTCACCTGCTTCGTGACGACCACGCCTGGCTCGGCCCAGTGCATGAAGAACTGTACGCCCAGCGAGACGACGGCCTGCGCGGTGCCTGTGCCCAAGGTCGGCGAGCCGATGTACTTGGACAACGCCGTAGCACCCGGAACATCGATGTATTGCTTCTCCGTTTACATGGCAGACACTGGCAGCGACGGCAAAACCGAGCGCCCGGACGAGCTGAACTTGCTGAAGGCGGCGTACGACAGGAAGATAGGCATCTTCGCGTGCGAGCAGTGGGGCATTTTCAGCGACAAGCCAGGCGACCTGGCCCCTGGCGTGCCCTTCGTGGCGGTGGACGACGCCGATGGTGACTTCCACATTCTCAAGCGCGAGGAGACTGGCACCTGGGTCAACACAGGATTGCACACACAGGTCTGGAAGGCGATCAGGGCGGCGGGAGACTACCAGCGCGCCAGCTGGATAGTCAAGGTAGATTGTGATGCGGTGTTCTTGCCGAGCCGCTTGAGGCCCTTCCTTGCCTCCCAGGGCGAGCCTGGGAGCGGTGTGCCTGGCATCTACCTCGAGAACTGCAAATACTGTAAGTGGGGTTGGTTCGGGAACTTGGAGATCATGTCGCTGACTGCCGCCCAGACGCTGTTCCCGAACATCGAATGGTGCAAGCAGGTCCTGGATTGGAAGACGGGAGTGGAGGGCGGCAAGTACGGGCCAATGGGGGAGGACCTTTTCGCTCAGAGCTGCTTGGACGCCATGGGTGTGCGCCGCGGCGGGGCGTTCGACACTACTCTGGACGCGGCCTGCGAGGCGGATCGCCCAGAGGACCAGAAGAAGAACAAGAAATGGAGGCCTGATTGCACGGAGAGGAAGACCGCAGCATATCATCCCATGATGAAGGTGGGTGATTACGTGAAGTGCTTCGAGAAGACGGTGGAGGCATTCGGGTACTGAGTTCTTGGGAGACGCGCTCTGCGAATTACTTCGAAGAAGTGGCAGCGCAAGAGCTGTTGCCCGATATTCGTGCACAGTTCAGCCATCAGCACGTTTTTTACCTGCCACGAGTCAACGTCCTCGTGGCTGAGTGCTCGGTCGATGCGAGGCCCGTATCCTCCGAGGTGCGCTTGTGGTGGACCCGCGGCGCGCAATTAACATACACATGATGACCTCTGGGATGTCGCCAGGGGGGAGATGACTTCTCCTGCGATGACCTATCGATGCCGACTGCCAAGCTGGAGGCTCTGAACCCAGGAGTTGTCATGCCGATGATGATCATCATCATCATCATCATCATCATCATCATCATCATCATCATCATCATCATCATCATCATCGTCATCTTTTCATCGTCCGTAGCCATTTGGGCTCAAGCTTTTTCGCCTCAACCACTCTGTGGCGCTCCAGTGATCGCGTCTCCTCGTCGCACGCCTGCTTGCTCCCGCTGCAGACCAGAGCTCACACCTCATCTCGCCCGCATGGCGCCGCACCGCCGCAGCGAAGACATGGAGCTCAGCAGCGACAGCGACGCGGCCGCGCCAGCCGCTGGCTGGAGCACCAGCAGGGTCCTCGGCTGCGCGCGCTGGCCTGTGCACCCCTGCAGCCGCGGGCGGCTTCGCGGCAGGTAGGCGGCGCCGCTCGCCAGGGGCTGCCCGCCGCGGACGGCCGGGCCGAGTTGCTGCAGGTGGAAAGGGTGGCGCTCGGCGCGGGAGAAGTTGCAGCGACGTGTCCGGGGACTGCTTCGTACAGGTACTGGCGACGTGGCTGTCTTCCCTGCTTCGTGACACCACGCCTGGCTCGGCCCAGTGCATGAAGACTGCAAACGCCCGCAAGGACGACGACTGCCGTGCCTGGGGCCAAAGGTCGGCGAGCCGATGTCTTGCCAACGCCGTAGCACCTGGAACAGATCGATGTTTGCTTCTCCGTTTACATGGCAGACACTGGTAGCGACGGCAAAACCGAGCGCCCGGACGAGCTGAACTTGCTGAAGGCGGCGTACGACAGGAAGATAGGCATCTTCGCGTGCGAGCAGTGGGGCATTTTCAGCGACAAGCCAGGCGACCTGGCCCCTGGCGTGCCCTTCGTGGTGGTGGACGACGCCGATGGGGACTTCCACATTCTCAAGCGCAAGGAGACCGGCACCTGGATTAACACAGGCTTGCACACACAGGTCTGGAAGGCGATCAGGGCGGCGGGAAACGAATGTTGGAACGCACTGGGTGGTCAAGGTCGATTGCGATGCGGTGTTCTTGCCGAGCGCTTGAGGCCCTTCCTTGCTCCCAGGGCGAGCTGGGAGCGGTGTCCGGCATCTACCTCGAGAACTGCAATACTAGTAGTTTGGGTTTGGTTCGGGAACTTGGAATCATGTCCGCTGAACTGCCGCCCAGACGCTGTTCCCGAACATCGAATGGTGCAAGCAGGTCCTGGATTGGAAGACGGGAGTGGAGGGCGGCAAGTACGGGCCGATGGGGGAGGACCATTTCGCTCAGAGCTGCTTGGACGCCATGGGTGTGCGCCGCGGCGGGGCGTTCGACACTACTCTGGATGCGGCCTGCGAGGCGGATCGCCCAGAGGACCAGAAAAAGAACAAGAAATGGAGGCCTGACTGCACGGAGAGGAAGACCGCAGCATATCATCCCATGATGAAGGTGGGTGATTACGTGAAGTGCTTTGAGAAGACGGTGGAGGCATTCGGGTACTGAGTTCTTGGGAGACGCGCTCTGCGAATTACTTCGAAGAAGTGGCAGCGCAAGAGCTGTTGCCCGATATTCGTGCACAGTTCAGCCATCAGCACGTTTTTTACCTGCCACGAGTCAACGTCCTCGTGGCTGAGTGCTCGGTCGATGCGAGGCCCGCATCCTCCGAGGTGCGCTTGTGGTGGACCCGTGGCGCGCAAGTAACATACACATGATGACCTCTGGGATGTCGCCAGGGGGGAGATGACTTCTCCTGCTGTGACCTATCGATGCCGACTGCCAAGCTGGAGGCTCTGAACCCAGAAGTTGTCATGCCGATCATCATCATCATCATCATCATCATCATCATCATCATCATCATCATCATCATCATCATCATCATCACAGTATCATCATCATAATCATCGTCATCTTATCATCATCCGTAGCCATTTGGGCTCAAGCTTTTTCGCCTCAACCACTCTGTGGCGCTCCAGTGATCGCGTCTCCTCGGCGCACGGCCTGCTTGCTTCCGCGGCAGAACCAGAGCTCAACACCTCATCTCGCCGCATGGCGCCGCACCGCCGCAGCGAAGACATGGAGCTCAGCAGCGACAGCGACGCGGCCGCGCCGGCCGCTGGCTGGAGCACCGGCAGGGTCCTCGGCTGCGCGGCGCTGGCCTGTGCGGCTTGCGCCGCGGGCGGCTTCGCGGCAGGTGGCGGCGCCAGCTCGCCAGGGGGCGGCCTCGCGGCCAGGCGCGAGTTGCTGCAGGTGCTGGCAAGCCGGCGCGGGTGGAAGGATTGCAGCGACGTGTCCGGGAACGGCTTCGATACAGAGTGCTGCACGTTGCTGGCTCACCTGCTTCGTGACGACCACGCCTGGCTCGGCCTCAGTGCATGAAGAACACACGCCAGCGGAGACGACGGTCCTGCGCGGGTGCCGTGTGCCCAAGGTCGGCGAGCCGATGACTTGGACAACGCCGTAGGCACCTGGACTCGATGTATTGCTTCTCCGTTTCCTGGGCAGACACTGTAGCGATGGCAAAACCGAGCGCCCGGACGAGCTGAACCTTGTGAAGGTCGGCGTACGACAGAAGATACATCTTCGCGTGCGAGCAATGGGGCATCTTAGCGACAAGCCAGTCGACCTGGCCGCTGGCGTGCCCTTCGTGGCGGTGGACGACGCCGATGGGGACTTCCACATTCTCAAGCGCAAGGAGACCGGCACCTGGATTAACACAGGCTTGCTCACACAGGTCTGGAAGGCGATCAGGGCGGCGGGAGACTACCAGCGCGCCAGCTGGGTGGTCAAGGTAGATTGCGATGCGGTGTTTTTGCCGAGCCGCTTGAGGCCCTTCCTTGCCTCCCAGGGCGAGCCTGGGAGCGGTGTGCCTGGCATCTACCTCGAGAACTGCAAATACTGTAAGTGGGGTTGGTTCGGGAACTTGGAGATCATGTCGCTGACTGCCGCCCAGACGCTGTTCCCGAACATCGAATGGTGCAAGCAGGTCCTGGATTGGAAGACGGGAGTGGAGGGCGGCAAGTACGGGCCGATGGGGGAGGACCTGTTCGCTCAGAGCTGCTTGGACGCCATGGGTGTGCGCCGCGGCGGGGCGTTCGACACTACTCTGGACGCGGCCTGCGAGGCGGATCGCCCAGAGGACCAGAAAAAAAACAAGAAATGGAGGCCTGACTGCACGGAGAGGAAGACCGCAGCATATCATCCCATGATGAAGGTGGGTGATTACGTAAAGTGTTTCGAGAAGACGGTGGAGGCGTTCGGATACTGAGTTCTTGGGAGACGCGCTCTGCGAATTACTTCGAAGAAGTGGCAGCGCAAGAGCTGTTGCCCGATATTCGTGCACAGTTCAGCCATCAGCACGTTTTTTACCTGCCACGAGTCAACGTCCTCGTGGCTGAGTGCTCGGTCGATGCGAGGCCCGTATCCTCCGAGGTGCGCTTGTGGTGGACCCACGGCGCGCAATTAACATACACATGATGACCTTTGGGATGTCGCCAGGGGGGAGATGACTTCTTCTGCGGTGACCTATCGATGCCGACTGCCAAGCTGGAGGCTCTGAACCCAGGAGTTGTCATGCCGATCATCATCATCATCATCATCATCATCATCATCATCATCATCATCATCATCATCATCATCATCATCTCATCATCATCATCATCATCATCATCATCATCATCATCATCATCATCATCATCATCATCATCATCATCATCATCTCATCATCATCATCTCATCAGCATCACTCCTCATCTCATCACCCACCCACAGTATGCTCATCATAATCATCGTCATCTTATCATTCATCCGTAGCCAGTTGGGCTCAGCTTTTTCGCCTCAACCATTCTGTGGCGCTCCAGTGAATCGCGTTCCTCGCGGCTCACTTCCCTGCTTGCTTCGCTGCAGACCAGGAGCTCACACTTCATCTCGCCCGCATGCGCCGCACCGCCGCACCGAAGACATGGAGCTCAGCAGCGACAGCGACGCGGCCGCGCCGGCCGCTGGCTGGAGCACCGGCAGGGTCCTCGGCTGCGCGGCGCTGGCCTGTGCCGCCTGCGCCGCGGGCGGCTTCGCGGCAGGTGGCGGCGCCAGCTCGCCAGGGGGCGGCCCCGCGGCCAGGCGCGAGTTGCTGCAGGTGCTGGCAAAGCAGGCGCGGGAGAAGTGCCAGCGACGTGTCCGGGGACCTGCTTCGATACAGCGTGCTGCGGACGTGGCTGGCTTCACCTGCTTCGTGACGACCACGCCTGGCTCGGCCAAGTGCATGAAGAATTGCACGCCCAGCGAGACGACGGCCTGCGCGGTGCCTGTGCCCAAGGCCGGCGAGCCGATGTATTTGGACAACGCCGTAGCACCCGGAACGTCGATGTACTGCTTCTCCGTTTACATGGCAGACACTGGCAGCGACGGCAAAACCGAGCGCCCGGACGAGCTGAACTTGCTGAAGGCGGCGTACGACAGGAAGATAGGCATCTTCGCGTGCGAGCAGTGGGGCATTTTTAGCGACAAGCCAGGAGACCTCAAGCCCGGCGTGCCCTTCGTGGCGGTGGACGACGCCGATGGGGACTTCCACATTCTCAAGCGCAAGGAGACGGGCACTTGGATCAACACAGGATTGCACACACAGGTCTGGAAGGCGATCAGGGCGGCGGGAGACTACCAGCACGCCAGTTGGGTGGTCAAGGTAGATTGCGATGCGGTGTTCTTGCCGAGCCGCTTGAGGCCCTTCCTTGCCTCCCAAGGCGAGCCTGGGAGCGGTGTGCC